AAGTACATACTATGTACAATAATATAGTCCACAATGCCTGTCCCTTTGCCAAAGCATCTTTCCAAACCATTTCCTTACAGTATAGCCCTATTGTGTAAAAATTATTGGACTTAAATACAATTTATTCAGGCTCGTAGATTATTCAACTTCATAAAAGGAAATTACTGAAATCAGTATGAAAAGGGACTCTTGATGTTTGAGTACCATCTCTTAATTAAATTGTATGGATTTTCACAGGTCTACAAGGCTGTTAAAGCAATGTGATAAAAACTGTTTAAGAACAGAATGGGAATTCTTTTAAGCAATTAAATACAAGAAAATGGCAGATTCCTCATATTACATAATCAGATTCATTTGTGGTTATTAAACATGTTTGATGGTTCTTTCCAAACTTTAGATCATGAAAACATGTACATGTTTCAGTCGATATTCTCAGGAGTCCAAGAATTCCACATAACCTTAGACACTGTATATGCAGTGTGTAAGGTTATGTGGTTCACTATTAGTTTTAGCATCCTAGGAAAGGATATATAACGTTCAAATACTTATACTATCTGCTGTATACAAAAGAATGTTGGATCCACAAACAAAAATCTGTGGTTCTATTACCAGTGACAGAAATGTTTTTGTACATACGGTATTTCCTCCTTTGCCTTAACAGCCATAAGAGAATGGTCCTATATTTTTAGCAGTCTATATTGCAGATAAATGAGTTCTTTCTGTTCTTAAACTGTTTCTATGTATGCATCTGATTTTGTTATGACTAGTGTTCTGAACAAGTTTAAAACTGTTGCTACTGTTTGTTGTGTTCATCATTACGGCAACCCTGAAGACAGTAGCTGTTCCCATTATACGTGTAAGTGAAGCTGAGATGATGATTTGATGATTTGCTCAAGGGGACAAGACACAGAAATGCCATCAGGACAGGTTGTAGGGGCAAATTTCAGCGTTTCAAACTGCATGAGATATGCTAAACATTACATAGAAGTGGAGAAAATAGAAAAACTGCAGGTGATTTACGTTTTTGCTTTCCCTGCTTGCCTTGCAAGGTGTGAAAGTAAACACGTGGGTCACTTCTGCACTAAGATGTGAGAACCACTTGAAACTGGACAAAGTACAAATCACTAGTGCTTTCCCTATTCTATGTGTGTACCAGGAATAATTTCAGTTAATGAAATAAACTTCTAAATTTCACTGGATTTTAACTTAGGCATTAGGTATCTAAATTATAATTCTGAGAAGTTTTATACACCAAGGTGTGCAAAGAAGTAATCTTTTAAGACAACAATGTGTAAGTTGTAGACAGGAATGGGACAGGATAATTAAAGAGAAGGCAGTCTAAATGTGATATAAGCTTCTCTTAAATTTATTACTCATAACAATTTTGAATGTGTTGTTATGGTAAGTAACTCTTGTAGGCATTTAAAAGGCATCCCTATTTTTAAACACTTCCTTTTAAAATTCTATGAGTGAAATGTTGCTCTCCATGTATCTCTATGTATCATATCCATTCAAATTATCGGAAATAAAATTTCAGCTTTTTCCCCAAGTGTATTTTTATTATATAGTTAACTAAATTATTCTGACTCTATAATACACAGACTAATTACCAGGCAAATTAATTGCAAGAGCAAAATTCAATTGCCACATTAATTGTTTTAAAGAATATAATAACATCTATCATATATAGTGAAAAGCAAATTCCAGTATTAAGACTGTAACACAACCATTATGTTGGTAAAAGAAACACAGTTAAATCAGGATTATTTCCACGTACTACATATTGTTATAAAGAGCCTTTATTACTGGGTACAAACAATACCTAGCCCAAGTGACAGGGATGGATGTTCCAAAATTTAATGGAAGTTCTTACTTACCTATCCCTGAGATTTAAGCTCTAACCAATGTCCATGGGCCTTAAAGATACAACACAGCAATTGCCTGTGGGTGGGTTTTAACAGGTGGTAATAATTTTGTGTGAATAAGTCCTCAGCTGGAAAGATGCAGCAAGAGATGGATAGCGAAATCAGCTTCATCTAAAAATGACAAAACCAGTGCTTAAGCCATACTGTCCATTGTGGAATGTGGGGCACAGGGAAGAATATACTGACTTATTGCTCAGATTTACATGCCTTAAATTCTTGTACTATTAAGGACAACATGTTTTACATTAGAAAAGCTGAGGTTTTTTGTGATCAGAGCAAGTGTAAAATTGGCCAGTTCTTATCCATTCTTTACAGAAATGTCAGCATGGTTATGTTGGAAGCTATTATAAATAAATTCACTAATTTTAATTTTTTTTAATTATTTGATGCACCGGCCAATAGTCTGCCGTCCCTGCTGGAGGCCGTATCAGGCTGGGCGTTGGATCACCCTCGACTTATAGTCCTGTGGGATTTCAACGTCCATGCTGAGGACGTGGCCTCCAGCCGGGCTACGGACCTAGTGTCGTCCATGGCGGCACTGGGACTCTCACCGTGTTTATCTTCCCCTACGCATCAGGCCGGTCACATGCTTGATTTGATCTTTGCAGCGGGTGTGGAGGTGGACCGGATCACTGCCGAGGCAGTGCCATGGTTGGACCATCTGGCCCTGAAGGCCCGTCTGAGCATTCCACCTCAACCCTGCATAGGCGGCGAGCGCATTTTTGCTCGCCCACGGAGCTTGATGGACCCGGAGCGGTTCCAGAGGGCTCTGCGGGACTCAAGGCCCCCTGGCGGCTCGTTAGATGAGCTAGTGGATGACTGGAATGTCCGACTCTCCACGGCCATCGACGAGATCGCTCCCAGGCATCCTCTTTGCACTCACGTTAGGTGCGCCCCCTGGTATACCCAGGGGTTGCAGTCGCTGAAACGAGAACTTAGACGATTAGAGAGACGGTGGCGCCGCGCTCGTGACGAGGCAACAAGAACATCTTATAGGACGTTTATGAGATCCTATGAGATGGCAGTCAAGGCTGCTAAGAAGGATTTCTATGCGGCCGAGATTCCGTCTGCGAGCTCGCGCCCGGCCCAATTATTTAGTATAATTCGGAATTTGACAACCTTGCCTCAGGGTGAGCAATAAGTTAAGGAATTGGAATTTGGCTGTGAGGCTTTTGCGAGCTTTTTCGCAGATAAGGTCTTGGGGCTCCGCCGTGACCTCTCTGCTACAATTGAGACAGTGAGTGAACTTGAGGCCCCTTGCACGTCTTCGGGGCCGGGTTTAGAGTGTTTCAATCTACTCAGCTTTGATGAAGTGGACAGATTGCTCGTTTCTGTACGCCCAACTACATGCGACCTTGATCCGTGCCCCTCCTGGCTCATTAAAGCGAGTCCTGGGGGGTTGCGAGGCGCTGTGCGGGATACTGTCAACATGTCCCTCTCTGAGGGGCATTTCCCAGCTGTGCTCAAGGAAGCGATGGTCCGCCCTCTCTTTAAAAAACCATCTCTAGACCCGGCCGAATTGGCCAACTACCGGCCAGTGTCTAATTTGCCCTATTTGGGCAAACTTATAGAGAGGGCGGTGGCGTTACAGTTACAGGGCTTTCTGGAGGATGCTTCAGTCTTAGATCCCTTCCAGTCTGGCTTCTGCCCGGGCCACGGGACCTAGACGGCTTTGGTCGCCCTGACTGACGATCTCTGGAGACATCTGGATTGAGGCGGTGTGGCGGCACTGGTGTTGTTAGACCTGTCGGCAGCGTTTGACACTGTCGACCACCAGTTGCTGATCCATCGCCTCGCCGACGTGGGGATTCAGGGGCCTGCCCTTCAATGGTTTGCCTCTTTCCTGCAAGGTTGGGGACAAAGGGTGGTTCTCGGGGACCAGCGCTCCCTTAGGTATCCCCTTGAGTGTGGGGTACCACAGGGGGCAGTGCTGTCCCCGATGCTATTTAACATTTATATGCACCC